CCTTTATTATTACTAAAATATTGATAATATATTGCTAATATTAGCATTTTATTAGTATAATAATTGACAAATATATTCATAAAATTAAAATATAGTAAGAAAATGCTAATAAAATGCTTATATTTGCAAAATTTTATATTTTAATAGTACATTATCAGCACTGTTAAATTGCTTATTTTTAGCAAGTTCAATTTTGGCAGATTTTTTGTAAAGATATTCAAGCTTTCATTATATTGGGCCTATCCCTTAACCCCTGTAATAAAGTTAATTGTAAAAATTCTTCACGATTAACTTTATTACAGGAAGAATATAGAATTTACTTTCAATTTTAGAAAACTCATTTCTTAAGATTTGTTTTAATTGTTTAATTATGAACCATACTAAAATCTCATATAGATTATAAATGATGCTGTTATTAAACTAGGGGCCATTATACAAATTAAATCAAAAAAAAGATTAGTTTGACCAGAATTTGGAATTTGAGTATAAACAAACCCAAGCTATAATGGATGAGGCAGAAGAGCCAGGATATGTGAATTCAGATAATAACACCTATTTTTCATTAGCATAATTATGTTAGCAAGAAAGTAGCCGTAGTTGGAGGTATAGTTAAATGTCCATTATGTAGAATTGATGAATTTGAATGAGATCGATGCTGTAAATAAAGAATTTTGATCCAAATGTAAGTGTTAGTACTATAGAATCATTAGCTCTTGGTCTACTCCTTAATAGAGATAAGATAATTGATTATAAAGCGGTATTTTATTTATTTATTTTTTTTTGGGAAGTTATGTTAAATGTAAATTTTATTAAAAAACATATATGGTTCAGTTACTATAATACATTAATATTTATCGAAATAGTGTGCAATCGTAATGCTAGAAATAAAAAATTTATGTAAAAAGTTAAAGATAATGTTTTTTATACTATAATTTGAAATATGAATGATCTGGGGGTCTAAATTACACCAAATTTTTTAATGAATATAAAAAACAAGGATACTACTTCCAATCTGAAGGAAGTTGTCTGGTTGTTTTGTAAAATCTAGCGAGGCGGCAGATTTTTGACTCAATCAAAATTAATTAAAATTTAGAGTTATTATTATCACGATTAAACTCTAAGTGCTTACGAATGGCAACTGCTTTCTTTATCAAATGATAGAGACCTTCAGGAATCTCAGGTGCTAAACCTTGAAAAAATGAATAATATTATTGTTCAATTGATTTTTATTTTAAAACAAAAAAAAAAAACCTATCATAAGACTTCAAGATTCGTAGAATTTTGTTTACAGTAATATTTCTAGTCGGTCTAATGTTATACATGCCTTGGAGATTTACAGCAATTTGCGAGGGTGTTATACCTTTTTTTGCGAGGTTTAAAATTTGTTCACAAATGTCTTTGGGTGTAATATTTACTCTCGAAGAGGATATATATCAAAATGAAGTGACGTTAACAGTATCTTTATCAGAAATAAATAAGCAACCCATTTAATAGTTATTTTCTTTATTTATTTATTTATTTAATCTTTTCTCAAAAAAGAAAGATTACATATAGAGGAAACACTATAATTTTTTTTTTTGTATATCTCTATATTACAATCAAAATACTTCACTTTCTATTTAGCTTTTTTTTTTTTTTTGTGATAAAGCGTGATCACACCTATTCACATATTTGCAGATCATATGTAATAAACTTTTAATAATGAGTGCAAAATGCTGTACGATAATTCAAAAACATAAAATAAAATAAAATAAAATAAATACCGTCTTCATTTATTCATCCGAACCACTAATTAAATCGTTTACATTAAAATTTTTATCGCCATGTATAATATCTTCACTCATATTTAACGATTCATTAAACTCTAACTTAGAAGATAAAGATATGAAGTTTTCGACTTCCAAATTTAACGAGTTTTCACTAACAAGGTCTTCTAGTTCTTCCGAAGAATCGGTCGCATTGTCTTCTGTAAGTTCTTCAAGAACATAGGACAAATCATCCTTACTAAATAAGTCAGTACCATCTTCCATAGAGCTTGCAATTTTATTGAAAATCGACAAAAAATCCTCTTGACAAAGATTTGGATCAATATAGTTGAGTTCTGATTTAGTGTTCTTAATTAAAAATGAATGCATCTTGGCCATAACCTTCAGACGTTCGATACTTAACCTAAAAATACTACTTGTAATTAATTATATAAAGTTGGGTGAGGACTATCCTAACTTATATAATCTGATTAAATTTTGATTTATTGGGTAGTCTTCATGTAAAATCATGATAAACATTAAAGAAAAAAAATTAACATGCCTAGTCCGTCTTTTTCCGAAATACCAGCCTAGTATACTAAAGACTTATTCACAAGCAGCATTATAGGGAGAAATAGAATGTATTTGCAAGGCAAGAGTTTTAATATGATCTTTATTTCTTTTAAGATTGGCTGAAGTCTACCAATTAGTAATGGTATTAACAGATGAAATAAATTTATCATCGAAGAGAGGCTCTTGGTTTTTGTACAAGCTCATCTGAGTTTTCAAAAGGTCAGCACTTGTTCACCACCACCCACTTGTTTCTATATTTCTAATGCTTTTTTAAAAACATAATTTTTATATATACCGGGCTCAAGAAAATCATCTATTTAAAAAAAATAATAGTCAATAAAGTAAAAGTAGCATACTATGCGCATATTAGACTTATAAATATCACGATAAGCTGGTGTAAAAAAAAAAGCTAGAAGATATAATCCTGTATCAAATTCTTTCTATCGCTTGTTATAAATAGCAATACAATCACGCCGAAATTGGTTATTATATAGGACTGGAATTTTTTGAATTGCGATTGCCATTTTAACTAGTTGAACAAATACATCCACAAACAAGGTAGTTTGAAACTCTAAACTTTTAACAGCACATTTTACTGGACCAAGAATATTTTGTAATTGCTCAACAGCAATCCAAAATTGACGATCATTAATTAAGTTTTTTACAGCATTTGAACGATTAAAAATCTGAGGTTCTTTTTCTAAAACCTATTAGAAACAAAC